TCTGTGTCTGTGTCTGCAGAGGCAGGGCTCGCATGTGGTCGCCTTGCAGAGATCAAGACCCTGAGGTCTCTGCTGCCGAGCCGAGAGTCGATCCGTGAGGGGTGGGGGGCACAGTGGGCGCTGCGAAAGGAATTCGCGAAGCCCCCGCCCCAGAGCGGCTCTCGCCGAGGCGAGGTCGCCTGTTTTGTGCCTTCTGCGCGGTGCATAGCGCTCAAGGCATTTCCCACAGATGCTGTGTGGAGTCGCCTCTGGCTTATGTGGTGAGGTCTGTCGAGGTCAAAAAGGGGCTCGGGCCCATGGCGCCACGATGTGGCTTGGGATGTGGGGCCCTGCGTCTCACGCGTCCCCCCACCCCTCCTTGGGACCGCAGAAGGAGAACCCGATGGGCACAGAAAGTCACCACTGGCACGCCTCGCAACGGGACACGCAAAGCTTTCCTCTGGGAGGTGGGGGTCGCCGTTGTGTGATCCCTCATGGGAGCCTCAGGTGGTCCCAATGTTATATGCGGCTTTGGAGATCGGGTCCGGATGTCGTCGGGTGTGATCGACACCTGACCGAAATCTAGACGAAACGGTGAAGAGGGGTGGTCGAAGTGTAGACGAAATCTGGTCGAGGTCATGTTTATGATGGGGCCGCGGATGTTCACGGAGGCTCCCAGGAAGGCCCACCCAGTCGGCGCGAGAAGGCTGCAGAGGCCTTCACGGTGCACGGCGACGTTGGACCGACGAGGGGCACATGTCACGGGCTATACTGCCCTGCCGCCGTCCTCCGCCGGAGGCCCTCCCCGCATCTGCACGGAGCGGTGTCGGCACCAGGGAACGGAACAAGGTATTTGTGTTGGCCGTTGTCGGACATTGTTTCCATGGAGCGCGACACGGCAAAACAAGAAATAGCATGTTCCCGATAATGGGACAAGCACAGTTCCGGGAGCGGAACCAGCGCCAGAGCAGGAAAATTACAACGACGGAACCGGGAAGGAAACGGCGCGGGCACCGTCAAGGAAATGGCACAACACGGACTTTGTAAGAAAAAGGCTTGGTCGCTCCCAGGGCCCAGTGCGGTCGGGCAGCCTTGGATAGCGTGTCGCTTCGCCCGCTCTGGCCCAGCACGCTATCCGCTCGCAAGTCATAGCGTGTCGCCAGGCCCGCTGCCGCGACGCCGCGACACGCAGTGCAACAGTCTCCGAACGTGGAACGTAACCTCTCCATGGGCTCCTTCAGAATCGGCCACCGGATCCTCAGACACGTCGCTGGGCGCCTTCCGACTGGAAGTTCGATGCGAATCCAGCCGCGGCGACAGCGGCGGCGGCAGCCATGCCGTGCCCTGCCAGCAAGTATCATCAAGGGAGGAAAACCACCCAGACCCGCTAATTGGCGTTCACTCCGCGGCCTTTGAGCGTTTTTGAACAGCCTTGCCCCGGTTGAGTCTTTCTTCGAGTGCGTCTACTAAACGACTGCGCGTTCCGGGGTGGTTCTTCCAGTGGAGACCCATGCCAAGAAACACCTTGCTTGCCTCCATGGTGCCCTGAGTTTTTTGGGTTTCGATGGTCTTGCTATGGAAAGCGCAACGTTCCCACGCCGAAAATCGATGGATGCCCTGGAGTCTCAGGGTTGGGTCTCTTTTGTGAAAGATTTCTTGTGGACTCGCCTCCACAGTATGAGGGGAACGAGGAATGACATAAACATAAAATTCGGCTGGCGCGCGGAGCGCGCCAGGGTCGGCGCCGGAGGCGCCGCCAACGGGGCACAGCGCGGTTCAGAGAAATCCGCGCGGACTTCCGAGTGTTTACGCTTATGTCATCCATCGTTCCCCTATGTATTCTGCACCCGCACGGAGGAAGGACGCACAGTTTGCAAAGACGCGCGGATGTCCTTAGGGTACCCTTGCGTCCTTGCCTCTGCAGACCGTCCTCCGCGGCTTTTACTGGCCAGCCCCTCAGGGTGTTGGCAGCCCGCCGTCCAAAACGTGCCAACTTCGGCGTCCAAGGCCCTTGTGTCCTTACTGCCCATTCCTTCGTAGCTCGAGGAGAAGGAGGCGGAGGAGGAGGAGGAGGAGGAGGAGGAGGAGGAGGAGGAGGGGAGAATAAGGAGGAGGAAGGGGAGGAGGAGGGAAGGGGAGGAGAGGAGGAGGAGGAGGAGGCGGAGGAGGAGGAAGTGGAGGAGGAGGAGGAGAGGAGGAGGGAGGAGTAGGAGGAGGAGAGGAGGCAGAGGAGGAGGAGGAGGGGAGGGGGGGGGAAGGGGGAGAGGAGGAGGAGGGGGAGGAGGGAGGGGGTAGGGGGGGCGGGAGGAGGAGGAGGAGGAGAGAAGGAGGAGGAGGGGGAGAGAGGAGGGTGAGGTAGGATGAAGGGAGGAGGAGGTGGAGGAGGAGGAGGGGGGGTGGTGATCTGCTCTCCATATCATGACTGGGCCCCTCGCCGCAGGCGAGCCGGCAGCGGCCCCTCCGCTGGCCGCCGCGCCGGCGCCGGCGCCCGGCCCCGCGTTCGCCGCCGCGCCAGGGCCTGAGGCCGGCCGCGCAGAGAGGCAGCCTCTGGCGGGGTGGGGTCAGCCGCGCGCAGAGGGGGGTGTCAATTTGGACGCCCGAGATGGGCACGGAAAGAATGGGCACAATGCCCAACAGCAGTTCCTGTCCACTTTGAACAGGACTCGCTGGCCGCGCCGCCGCAGCCTGTGTCCAGTCGAGACAGAAGGTCGCCTGCCCAACAGCGGCCGCTGTTGGTTTGGGACAACACTTGTTGTTGGGCATTGTACCCATTTTTCCGTACCCATTTCGGGCGTCCAAACAGAGGGGGGTGTCAAGCAGTGGCGAAGCGTGTTTGCGTGCCTATAGCCCTACCAAACAACGTTCTAAGAGCCTTTTTGTGGTGTCCGCGTAAGGTTATTCGAACATGTCTGGCGGATATTGTGTTGTTTTAACACATCGGGCTTATGTTCTGACAACATTGCTATTGTGCTTAGAACTGTTTTGGGGTTCTAAGAACATTTCGTCGTAGGACTATAAGAATGCTGGTGGGGCGCGCAGAGGGGGGTGGGGGGAGGGGGGAGGGCTTCTTTCGGAGGTGGATCGACCTCCTACCCTGACACGTCGATTAAGGAATTGGCCGTTTGCGGTTCGCGAGAGGGCGTCGCGGCCGTCATTCTTGCGGGTCCAGGTCCGTCGGTTTCGGTCCCAGGCCGTTTCCACTAAGGGGAGGTTCACTAAAGGGAGGCTTGTCCACCGCCGATATTCTTAGAAGCACCCCTGCTGCTTAGTAGACGCGGGCCTTATCTGTAGATGCAAGGCTGGCGCCTTCTAGGAAGCAGCCTCAGATGGAAGCCTTCTGAGAAGGCCTGTAGATGCAAGCCTCCTAAGAATTCAGGATGGAGACAGCACGCAGACACCATTAACCATCGATTTCCCGAAAAGATATGGGAACATATGGGAAGAGGGGGGAAGACAAAAGCCCCGAAAATATCGGAAAATATGGGGAATCCTGTTGATTTATTTGTGTGTCCCAGGGCCCCTTCTAAGAAGCCCTCCCCCCTCCCTCCCCCCCCCCTTGTGCGCGCCGCCAAGGGGGGGGGGCGGCGGCGGTGCCACGTCGGAGCCTCGGTCCTCGGCCCGCCCCCCATCGCACCTGGAGGCGTTGTCGGCTCTCGCCCTCTCTCTCTCTCTCGGCCGCTCTCGCTTGTCGTTTGGTGTGGTGGCTTTCCTCACTGTGCTGCTCCTCTCGCTGTGGTTGGCTGTCTCTCTCTCTCTCTCTCTGTCTCTCTCTCTCTCTCTATATATATATATATATCTATATACATATAGATACGTATCTCTCTCACGCTGTATCGATCTCGTGTTCTCTTTATGTTCCACTCTCTCTCTCTCTCTGTGTCTTTCTCTCTGCCGTCCCGGTGTAAAACGTAGGTTTATATACATATTTATATATAGAGAGAGAGAGACAGAGAGTTGTGTGTGCTCTCTGTCATCTATACATGTATATGTATACGTGTATATATATATATACACATGTGTACGCATAGGAAGAAACCCACAAATTGCCAGCGCGGATCCCCAACAGCGAGTTATTGCAGGATGGCTGCGCATGATATTGCAACATGTGTGGTGCAACGGGAGCTTGTGGTTACAGTCGGCCCAGATTAGTAGGTCGACCCTGCCAAGTCAAGGGTACCTTCGTGTCCTGTGTCTCGCGACCAATGCTTCCGACATTCCTGTGGCAATGTGGGTGTTCTCTCGCGTGTCCTGTCCAATCGAGTGCGACTGTAACAAATGATCCCCCCCCTCCCAGGGCTGATGAACAGACCCAGCGGGCTCGAAATTATGGTTTTCACCACTTGCGCCGGGAGTCATCGCGGGCGCCGACGACGGGAGAGTGCACCTGCGCGGCAGCCTCACGACGATGGCCCTTCGGATATGAGTTGCCGTAGGGATTGTGCACATCCGAGGGGTACAGTCAACCCGTGCAGTAAGGATGCGCGATAAGGATGCAAGGGCCTTGGACGCCCAATTCGAAGCTCTTCGAGCGGGGCGCGACCAACGAACTTACCGAAGGATGGACCGAGGGGGCAAGGATGCAAGGGTACCCTTGAGAAGGCTGCCCATCCTTATTATGCGGGTTGACTGTAGTTGTTTCCCCCTCTCAAGCTGGTTATTGGCGTGCCCGTTGTCGTCGCCGTCGCCGTCGTCGTCGTCGCCGTCGTCGTCGATCACCCCCCAACCCACCATGGGGCATCGTCTCTCTTTGTCTCTCTCTCTCTCTCTCTCTCCCTCTTTCTCTTTGTATATGTGTGTGTGTGTTAGCAAGCGTGGACCCCAAACAGTGTGCCTCAAACAATAAACATTGTGCAATGTATGTTGCGCAAAATATGTAGTGCACTCTATGTGGTGCAGTCTATGTGGTGCAATTCACTTTGACCGTCTTGAAGCTGTCCTCTGTACTGCTCGTGCAAACATCCCACCCTCCCACCCGCAACTTGGCCGCAAGACCTCTTAAGACAAGACCGTGACGGTAGGTACCACATGGCACTTGGCCACGACACCGACGCCGACGACGACAGCGACAACGACGACGACGGCGCCGCCGACACCGACTACGACGACACCGCCGACGTCGACGTCGACGAAGATGACGACGACGCCGACGCCGACGACGACGACGAAGACGACGACGACGTCGCCAACGAAGACGACGACGAGGGAGGAGGGAGGACGACGACGGCGACAACGACGACGACGACGATGGAGGAGGGAGACGGCGACGACGCGAACGACGAAGAAGGAGGAAGGACGGCGACGCCGACGACGACAACGACGAGGGAGGAGGGAAGACGACGACGACGACAACGACGACGACGACGGCGAAGACGGACGACGACGGCGACGAAATAGGAGGGACGACGACGAGACGCCGACGACTGACGACGACGACGATGAGGGAGGAGGACAACGACGAGGGAGGAGTGAAGACGACGACGACGACAACGAGGACGACGACGACGACGACGACGGCGACGAAATAGGAGGAACAACGACGAAACGCCGACGAAGACGACGAGGGAGGAAGGACGACCACGGCGACAACGACGACGGAAGCGACGACGACGCCAAGACGACGACGGCGGCGACGACGAGGAAAGACAGAAGACGACGGCGACGACGACGACGACGAGGGAGGAGGGAGGACAACGACGACGACGCAAGAGCGCGCGCGCACGCTTTTGTTGAAAATCCGTGTTGCGAAACCTTGTGTTCTTGTATGTTTTTTGGACACGATTTTGAAATCCTTCCGAAGCCGAAGGTTTTTGAAGGATTTCGGCGTACGCGCGCGACGATGCGCGCGTCTGCACTTCGTCCCGTTTTTTGCAGAGGATTCTCGCGACGGCACACGCGCAAGGGCGTTCGACAGATTTCGACATGCGCGCGCGAAGCCCGTTTGGTTGCATTTTGTGAAAATATAAAAAAACAATGGTTTTCTTAAGATTTCGCAAGAGCTCGCGCGTAAGCTTTTTTAGCAAATCAGTGTTAAGAAACCCTGTGTTTTTTCTATGTCGTTTGGAAACTCGATTGCGAAATCCTTCCAACACCGAAGGTTTTTGAAGGACTTCGGAGTGCGCGCGCGACGACGCGCGCGTGTGCACTTCCTCCCTTTTTTTGCAAGGGATTCGCGAAAAAGTGCGATGTTAGAACAAAAATGTCACCGCATAGTGTTTGTTCTACAAAGGAGGCTCAGGGGGGGGAACCCGGCCCCACGGGGATAGTGCAAATTCATATTCAGGATGGACCTGTGGTCATAATCATACATGATTTACATACCTGGAAGGGGGGGCGATAACGCTGGGGGGGGTAGAGTCTATTCTGCTCTTAGAAAGAAGAATCTATGTTGTGAAGTGTATGATTTCCACTCGACTTGGACCAATATGCGCGATGCAATCTACAGTCAGCCCGAATAGTAAGGGTGAGCGACTGCCCAAGGTCTCTCTTGCATCTTTCCCCTTCGTCCCTTCCTTGGCCGCTGTCGCTGGCCGCGCCCCGCTCGCAAAGTGTCGGCATGGCCTCCCAAGGCCCTCTCATCCCTCTAGTGCGTCCCTACTCTTAGAGGGCTGATTGTATTCGGTGCAGTGCAGCCTAGTGGACGCAGCGACGGCGAGGAGTGGAGGCGGTCTGCCCTTCTCCCGCGACCTGGGCTCTCATCCGGCCATCTGGCTTTCATGACCAGGATAACCCGCGGTGGCGCGATACTCACCGCGCGCCGCGGTGCAGACCGGAGAGGTTGCCCCTTGTCCAGGGTGGCGGCGCGAGGGAGGGCGCGAAGATGATCGCACGCCACGCATCTATGGCGCGATGCGCGAAGTCGGGTGGCCTATAGGTGCCCTTTTCCACCCGTCACTCCGGATCCCTGAATAATCGCCCCCCCCTTAAAAAATTAGACCCCCCTTTCCTTCGCGACGGAATTTTCCGGACCACCCCATCCGCGCGGGGCGCGGACCCCCCTCCAGCAACATTGCGAGCGCGATCGTTCACAGTGGTGGTAACCCTTGGTGATAACAGGACCCCCCTGCCTCCCTGAAGGGCGCCTTACAAAAATCAGACCCAGGGGCCGATTATTAAGGGATCCGGGTCCCGCATCCACTTTGGATGGCCCCAGGGTTACGTCGGGCATGTCCCTCTACAGGGGGAATATTCCAAAATAGTTTGAAAAATAGTCTGGGGAGGATTTTTGACCATTTTTGAATACTTTGGGTATTTTTTTGAAGTATTTTTTTGTTCGCCCAAAAGCCCCCTGTAGGGGGACACGCCCGACGTAATATTTCGAGGGATCTGGGTCCCGGAGCCCTGTTGGATGGCCCCAGGGCCGCAAAAAGGGGGCCCGAGGGCCGAGCTCGAGGAGAGAAAAAAAAACGCCGGGACGGGGCAGCTCACGCCGCCGCCGGAGATCTTTGTGTCTCTTCGGCTCTTCGAGAGGCAGCCTCTGCCGGGGTGGGTTCAGCCGCGCGCAGAGGGGGGTGGCAAGCAGTGGCGAAGCGTCCTGGCGTGCCTATATATATATATATATATATATATATATATATATAGCCCCACCAAACAACGTTCTAAGAACCTTTTTGTGGTTTCCGCGAGATGTTCTTGGAACATTTCTGGCGGAGATTGTGTTGTTTTAACACGTCGGGCTTGCGTTCTGACAACATTGCTCTTGTGATTGGAACATGTGTGGGTTCTGAGAACATTTCGTGGCGGGACTATAAGAATGCCGGTGGGGCGCGCAGAGGGGGGTGGGGGGAGGGGGGGGAGGGCTTCTTTCGGAGGTGGGTGGATAGACCTCCTACCCTGATACGTCGATTAAGGAATCGGCCGTTCTCGGTTCGCGAGAGGGCGTCGCGGCCGTCCTTTTGGCGGGTCCGGGTCCGTCGGTTTCGGCCCCAGGCCGCTTTCACACAAAGGGGAGGCTCACTAAAGGGAGGCTTGTCCACCGCCGACGGGAGCCCTCGAGCCGAGCCGCTCTGCCCAGGGGGCCCCCAGAGAAGGGCCCCCGGCGGGGCGGAGCAGCCCCCCGCCGCCGCCGGCCTGGGCCGCCAGAGGTCTTCACAGAGGTGCCCCCGCGGGCGTCTTCGGGGAGGCCTCCGCGGGGCCCGAGAGTCTATAGGCCTCCCACACGTCGGGGGCGGCAAGGAGGGGGGTGATGACGAGGGGGGGGGTACCATGGCGGGGGGCCATGATATTTCCCCAGATTTCGCGGCGCCTCTTCCTATTTCATTGCGTCCCTGGCCCCCCCGCTGGGCCGCGTACACGCCGCGGGTCATGATGTGCACCCCCCACGTCTTGGACACCCCCCTCTTGGCCGCTCCCGAACACGGGGTCCCAGTGCGCTATAGGTTCGCGTCGTGTCTCGACCAGCGGTGACCCCACTGCCAGCGTTCCGCGCTGGTCGGCCACGCGCAGAGGGGGGGGCAGGAGGAGGGCGGGAGGCTTTTTAGAAGCACCGCTGCTCCTTAGAATCTAGGCCTCCTAGATGGGGTCCGAGAAGATGCGGCTCGATGTGGAGTCCGATTTCCTCCACGCCGACGTCGCCGATGCATCGCCGATGCCTCGGCGATGTATCACCGATGTATCGGCGATGCCGACCCCATCTAGGAGGCCTCTAGAGAAGGCGCGGGCCGTGTCTGTAGATGCAGGGCCCGCAACTTCTAAGAAGCAGCCTCCTTCTAAGAAGCCTCCCCCTGCCCCTACCCCCTTCTGCGCGTGGCCACGTTGAACGCCGCCGTCTCGACCCAGAAACGGCCGAACGCTAAAGGTTGAACGAGTCCCGCGGTGTCAGGAACCAGCGCCGGGGTCGACACGACACGAGCCCGCGGTAGATCGGCTCGAGGGATGGCGCCGCAGCGGCGATGCATCGGGGATGCGGCTCGATGTGGAGCCCGATTTCCTCAGCGCCAGTGGCTCCGATGCATCGTCACTGCTGCCGATGCATCGCCAAAGTACCAGCGATGCATCGCCGATGCGTCGCGATTCTCCGACCCCATCTACTCGGATCCCATGTGGGAGGCCTCTGGACCCGAAATGGGGCCAGCGACGTTGAAAGCTCGGCACGGCACGAGGACCCAGCTGTTCGACGATGTTTGTTTTTCGGTCTGGGTGTGCTTTTCCTCGATTTCGGTCCGTGGGGCCGCCGTCCCCGTCGGGCCCTGGAACCATTACACATGGAAGCGGAACAAAAGTACCCCCGGCTAAGCTGGGGGGGGGTGCTGCGGATGGAAGAACTTATGGCGGCGGATGTCAGGTGACGAACCAACAACACACACCCACACCCATAGGGGGGTCGGAGAGGGCTATGGGTGCGTGTTGTCGGGTCGGGGGCCCCACTCGAACGGGAGCGTTCCCCGGGGTCCGACAACCCGCACCCATACCCACAGCCAGTCCTCCTCCCAACGACCGCCCCTATGGGCATGGGTGTGTGTCGTTCGTTCGTCATCAGGGGAGGCCCCGCGTCGTCCCTGGAGGCCGCCACTGGAGGCCCAACAAGGGGCGGGCCGGCGACGTCCGAGAGTCATCAAGTGTCGGTACGCCGGATGAGAGCGAAGCGACCCCAACCTTGGCACTCAGCATCGATTGGTTGCAGCAGCAGCAGCGAATGAAGCACTACCAGCTACGCACCCCCTCCCCCACGCCTCCCCCATGGAGTAGATCTTGGCTGTTTTTGGCGCCTGTTTCACGCAGCTGGAGTCTCCCCCATAGCCTGTTTCAAGCAGCTGGAGTCTCTCCCATGGGGCGCACTGTTGCAAACAGTCGCATTAAGCGGAGGTCAGTGCGCGCCCCCCCCCCCAAACACCCCCCTTTCGCCCAATGTCGAAAGGCCGAATCAAAAAACGTTCAGCACATCGTGATCTTCATCCCCACGTCGATATTCATGGGCGGGAACTTGGGGTTGGCGTGTCGCTCCGCCGGTTCCGGCCCACGGCGCCTCGGCGCGACACGCTATGCACGTTCCGGTCCCCGAGCGTCCACGCCTCGGCGGTGAGCGAGGCGGGGGAAACGAGAAGGAACAGGCTTTCTCAGAAGACCGCGGGACTTCTCAGAAGCCCTCGCGCCTTCTGAGAAGTTGTTTTTTGCGTCTTCAGGGAAAGCTGAGAAAACTTCTCGGGAGGCCAGGGGACTTCCGAGCCATCTGTCAGAGCCCCCAATCATCAGGGGTAACTCGGGTCAGGGCCAACTCGGGTTCGTTTTTCGGGATTCCGATCCCGATTTACCCCGGACCCGAGCTACCCTGGATAATTCGGGCGTCCAGAGCCCCAAAATCATCAGGGGTAACTCGGGTCAGGGCTAACTCGGGCTCCTTTTTCGGGAACCCAAACCCGCGTGACCCCGGACCCGAGCTGCCCCGGATAACTCGGGCGCCCAGATCTGAGCAGGCCCGCCCCTTCTCGTGTCCCCCCCCGGGCTCGCCGCCGAGCTTCCTGCGCTTCTCCCAGCTTCCCGCACCGCGGAGCGGAGCGAGACACTGTCCGCTCGCAGGGCATGGCGTGTCTCAGGAGGGACAAAAACACACAGACACAATTAATCGTCGATCCCCAGGAAAATATGAGAAAATATGGGAAGTGGGGGGGAAGACAGAAACCCAGAAAATATGGGAAAATATGGGGAATCCTTTTATTTGTGTGTATTTGTTTGTGTGTCCCAGGGCCCCTTCAGTGTCGCCAGGGCCGCCGCGGCGACACGCTAAGCAGGCAGAAGTTCCCGACCATGATAAGGGGGGGGGACAGGCGCAGGAAGGGATACATTGATCCCCAATCGCCCGTTGATCGCCGATAGGCCGCCCCTCCCAGGAAGTTGCGGATTTGTTATCGGGAGCAAATCGCCGATCTGTCGGCGATGTACCGCCGATTTCAGGTCGATGTTTCCCCTTATTCCAGTTCCCCCCGATCGTTGCACAAAGACCGACGGCAGTTCCTTCCCACTTGGAACAGGACTCGCTGTCGACAGGAGGACGCCTGCCTAAACGGCGGCCGCTGCCGCTTTGGGGCAACACTTGTTGCTGGGCATCGTATCCATTTTTTCCCCCGTACAGTCGGGGCGCTGAAGAAGGAACCCTTTTCGTTGGGGAGGGGCCCGGTGTTCCTCGATTATTTAGCAATTTGCCCTGGGTTTTCCTGAGGTCTTCTAGGGGGAATCGAAGTTTAACTTATGTAGGGAATCGAAGGGGCCTCGTTCCTTATCGTAGTGGCCTCTGGCCAGTGCCGCCGATCCAGGGCGCTCCTGATGCTATTGTTGTTGACATGGACGATGACGACGACAACGGACGACCAACGGTCGACGAGCGCGATACTTACGGCGACGACCGACGAAGGAGTTAATGAGGACGAACCGACGACGACGACGACGACGACGACGACGACGACGACGACGACAACGCCCCGACTGCACCCATGTTTGCCCCGTGCCCATTTCGGGCGTCCACTTCCCCCGAGGTTCGAGCCGCCGCAGAGGCCAGAGCCGGCGCCCGGGGGCGCAGGCAGTTTCGGCAGCCACGGATCCCCAGGGGGGCGGGGGGGGGGCAAGAGTCAAGCAGTGGCGAAGCGTCCCGGCTCGCCTATAGCCCCACCAATTTTTTGTGGTTCCCACGAAAGGTTCTTAGAACATGTCTGGCTGGGACTGTCTTGGTTTAACACATCGGGCTACTGTTCTAAGAACATTGTTTTTGCTCTTAGAACAGGTTTGGCTTCTAAGCACATTTCGTGGTAGGACCATAGGAATGCCGGGACGGTCGGTCCCTGCTGAGAGGGAGGAGGATCGAGGTGCGAGCGAGGGCCAGTGTCTTCGGGGAGGGGGGCATGCTCGCCCCTGACCTTCCAGGGGGAGTGACGGAGCTACCTACAGATGGTGCGACCCCTGCGGGTGAAGGAAGGCACGGAGTGGAGGCATCGCCTCAGCAACAGCCCGTCTGGCCTTCCCAGACGCACGCACCAGAGGCCCTCGGCCGCACGGGGACGAGGGGGAGGGCGGGTCGGAGCCATGTGCTCCCTCCCCTGGGTGCACCAGGGTGAAGGCGAGGAGGAGCAGCGGGAGGTGGGGCGCCTCCCTCCTGGGCGAGCTCCCAAGTCCCGGGACGCGTCCTCGAGCGGTAGCCCCTCTTGGCATTCTATTTGGCACTTGCCAGGGGGAAGGAGCAGCAGGAGCCAGGAGGAGGAGGAGGAGGAGGAGGAGGAGGAGGAGGAGGAGGAGGAGGAGGGGGAGGAGGAGGAGGAGGAGGAGGAGGAGGAGGAGGAGGAGGAGGAGGAGGAGGAGGAGGAGGAGGAGGAGGAGGAGGAGGAGGAGAGGGAGGAGGAGGAGGAGGAGGAGGAGGAGGAGGAGGAGGAGGAGAGAGGAGGAGGAAGGAGGAGGGGGAGGAGGAGGAGGAGGGGAGGAGGAGGAGGAGGAGGAGGAGGAGGAGGAGGAGGAGGTGGGGGAGGGGGACAAGCTAGGTGCGCTCGCGTCATATCTGACATCCTACCCCTCCCTCCCATCCCTTACCATGGCGTAGATCCCCTCTCTACTCGCACAGTCGGATGTCGAGCAGGGCAATGATCGCGAAAGGGTACGCGATGCATTGTAGAGCACGGCATGGCATGGCGTAGAAGAGCACCGCAAAGCGTAGCATCAACCTAGCATTGCATTGCATGCCGTGGCATGGCACGGGAAATGACGCCAGCGCTGCAGCGGGAGCACGAGTCGAAACGAGCGGAAGCGCGGAAATGAGGCCAGCGCTGCAGCGGGAGCACGATTCGGAACGAGCGGAAGCACGGAAATGAGGCCAGCGCTGCAGCGGGAGCACGATTCGGAACGAGCGGGGCCCGAAAATGAGGCCAGCGCCTCAGCGAGAGCAGCATTTTGAAAAAAATGCAGCGAAAGCCCAACTCCCGGGAATCCTGTGTGTAAAAAAACAGTACGCGGGGGGGGGTCGAACACTCCCAGCACGTCATCAGGGGAAGAGGGAGAGTAGTATTCATATTGAGTAATTGTGGAGGAGGAGGGAGGAGGAAGGAGGAGGAGGGGGAGAAGGCGTCCTGAGGCGCCCTGAGGCCAGCTTGAGGCGGAGGACGAGAGGCCGAAGCGCCCTGAGGCCAGCGCGAGCAGACGGCGCCGAGACGCCTGGAGACGAGGATGAGGAGGACGAGGAGGAGGAGGAGGAGAAGGAGGAGGAGGAGGAGGAGGAGGAGGAGGAGGAGGAGGAGGAGGAGGAGGAGAGGAGGCGCGAAATGGAGGGGACGAAGAGAAGCGGCTGAGGGCGCGGAGGAACAGGTAGAGGCTGAGGAGGACGAGGAGGAGGAGGAGGAGGAGGAGGAGGAGGAGGAGACGGCAGCCACACCAGCGCCACGACACGACGACCGCCCCCCGTCCCCCGTCCCCGTCCCCCCCTTCCCCCTTCCCGGCCGCCCGCGCAGGTGCGCTGTCGTTTTTGTTCACCCCCTTCCCCCCCAGTCTGGGTCAGGGGCCGTTGCCCGCAGACCGTGGGGACGTACAGTTCCATGCGTGGACGACGCCCTCACACGCCTGACCCCGGTGACCACCCATCCTAAAGAGGGATGGGTGCCGGGGTCGGTGTTTGCAGCTGGTGGAGGAGGAGGAGGAGGACGAGGCGGACGAGGAGGACGAGGAGGACAAGGAGGACGAGGCGGACGAGGAGGGCGAGGAGGAGGAGGAGGAGGAGGAGGACGATGATGATGATGGTGATGATGATGATGAGGAGGAGGAGGAGGAGGAGGAGGAGGAGGAGGAGGAGGAGGAGGAGGAGGAGGAGGAGGAGGAGGAGGAGGAGGAGGAGGAGGAGGAGGAGGAGGAGGAGGAGGAGGAGGAGGAGGAGGAGGAGGAGGGAGGAGGGAGGAGGAGGAGGAGGAGGAGGAGGAGGAGGAGGAGGAGGAGGAGGAGGAGGGAGGAGGAGGAGGAGGAGGGGAGGAGGAGGAGGAGGAGGAGGAGGAGGAGGAAGGAGGAGGAGGAGGAGGAGGAGGAGGAGGAGGAGGGAGGAGGAGGAGGAGGAGGAGGAGGAGGAGGAGGAGGAGGAGGAGGAGGAAGGAGGAGGAGGAGAGGAGGAGGAGGAGGAGGAGGAGGGAGGAGGAGGAGGAGGAGGAGGAGGAGGAGGAGGAGGAGGAGGAGGAGGAGGAGGAGGAGGAGGAGGAGGAGGAGGAGGAGGAGGAGGAGAGGAGGAGGAGGAGGAGGAGGAGGAGGAGGAGGGGGAGGAGGAGGAGGAGGAGGAGGAGGAGGAGGGAGGAGGAGAGGGAGGAGAGAGGGAGAGGAGGGGAGGAGGAGGTGGAGGAGGAGGAGGAGGGAGGAGGAGCCAGGAGGAGGAGGAGGATGAGGAGGAGCAGGAGCAGGAGGAGGAGGAGGAGGAGGAGGAGGATTTTTGACATCAACCGTGGCAAATGCAGGCGACGGCCGCGGTCTGGTGTCGCTGCCTTCCTCCAGTCCAGCGAGCAGTGACAGAGAAAGGAGGAGGGCAGGCGCGAAAGCCACGGGGGGATTTCCCCAAGGGGAGGATCCCTTGTGGCTGACCGCCCGCCCCCCTAAGCCCGAGACCAGAGTAGAAGTGAGGTCAGAGCTAGAGGCGCAGTGTAAGCCAGGACCGGGCATGGACTGCATCTCTGATGTTAGTCTGAGTCATCAGACGGTGGCCCCGGTGTCGCAGCTCGGGGTGTCTCGTCCTCTTGGGGGGTGAGTGCTCCCCTGTCGCGGGCAATCCCAGCCGACCTCGGCCTGGCACGTGAGTGCAGGGGCCATGGCGGCTCGCCCGTCTTGGGCGTGCCAACAAGTACCCGGTCAGCTTCTTCTTCTGCGCCAGAGTGGTCCAGAGGATGGGGCCAGGGCTCAGCAGCAACGCGAGTGGAAGACGACGACACGTACGACGGGTCGACGGCTCGATCAGGCTGCTGGCCCTGGCCCTTGCTCACAGGGGGCCCGCTCTCTGGCTCCTCTCTATCAGGGGGGCCAGGCTGCCCACCTGCAGCACGCAACAAGCGCCGCGCAACCTTGGCAGTGCGCAGCTCCTTCTCGTATTCAGTCAGGCGACGGGGAAGGTCCGCAGGCAGGCCATCGTCTGGACCGTACCAGGGCCCCACCTCCACAGCAACGCCTGAGCGTTTGGGGTGCCCGCCTTCCCCAACAGCTTTCCAGGCACCCTTGGCACCTGCACTCTGTTGCGCACCGTCACACTGCAGAAGAAGGCTGCGTGGCTGACCACGGGACGAATAGGCTTTGCACCTTCAACATATAGTAAGAGCAGCACAATCCGAACGAAGCAACGCAATACCACTGTGCCTCGAGCCCGCCAGGACGGCAGCATCAAGCTCGGGATCTCTGGAGCACGCGCCAGGGGCAGGCGGGTCCGGACCTCCAAGCAACTTCTCGTCGGGCCCAAGGCGCGGCACACCTTGAGCGACGCGCAGGCATGCAATCCATCGCCACAAGGTAGAGACACGCGCCCACTGGTGAGGGGGAGGCGGGATTTTTGGGCCGAGGAGGCTCACGAACAAGCTGGACGTCCCTCAAGTCGAGCCTGGGCCACTCCGGCATGACATCAGCCGTCAGACGCATGACACACTTGGCAACACCTATGCACCTATCAAGCCTCTCTACGTCAGCAGGGTCGGGCTGCGGGCGTCTGGCTGGCGAGTTCTTGGCAGCAGAGCCGGCTAGGTCATTCCCTAGCTCCCAAAAGCGCTCCAGCTCGGCGAGATCCTGAGACTCTTCGACGTGGGCTTTCACTTTGAAAACCCCGTCGACAAGCTTCCGATGGGTGGGGAGCAAAAATCCTGAATAGACCCGCTGGTAGGACAAGGAACGCATGAGGGGCTCGTTAGCCTGGACCTTAATGGGCCCTGGAAACGACAGGGCCTTTTTTTACAGGTTCCGTTTTGCCTTTTTTTGCCGGTTCCGACGCCTTTCATTTTCTGGTTCCGTCGCTGTTCTTTTACGGTGTTCCGCCCCGGTTCCAATCCTGGAGCCGTTTTTGTTGCCGTTTCTGGTCGCCGTTTTTTTGGCCGTTCCCATTTTCAAGGGGCAAAACGGTGAAAAAAGCCGCCCTGCCGTTTCCGTGGCCCACTAAGGCCTGGACGACCACATTCTTGCAGTCGGAATAAATCGAGTTGCCAGGCATGGCATGCATAGCAGCAACATCATGGGCTTCGAATTCCCCACCTTGGGCCGTCTGGAGGTTGGGGGCCCACAGGGGACAACTGATACGGCAAACTTCGACACCATCATCTCCTACGACCACTATCCCCCACCCAGCCCTGGAGAGTTCTTTGACAGTATGGGTGGCACACGACCCATCAACACAAACATGTCCAGATATGTCCAGGGATTTACAGGTACGGTCTTTGACCCATATAACCTCAAGGCCCGTGTCTTCAACGTCATCACGAGCAGGAAGCGGAGACACATCTCCTGGGTCTGAAACAGACCCGTGGTATAAAGTAGGAAATCCTCATCGCTGGTGTCTGCGGACAAGTCAGGAGGAGGGCGCTGGATTTCTTTCTTAACGCTGGTCGTGGCATGCAGGACAAGACCACAGGCGGTGCAGCACATTATCTGGACTGACCTGGCATAGCTCGTACCCTGCCTCAGCAGCCCTGGCTCTGGTCCAAATAGCGCTGCGTGCGACGGCCTTGGCACATCCTCGCTGTAACGGTGTGCCTTTCCTGGAACGCAAGGTGGCTGCAACAACATCATGGCTTACTCGCGCTCCGAGCGAGTGAGGAAGCAGGGCAGCGCCACTAGCCCGCTCATGAGTCCTCTGACCAGCCGCCGTCAACATCTTCTTAAGCAGGGCGGGTGAGGTGACCGCGAGTGACACTTCAGTTCCAAAATCGTCCAGAAGGGTGCAGTAATCTGGCATGGCCCACGAGAGGCGTCCGAGGGCCAGCTTCATGGCCCCCAAGGGGCCCTTCACCCCCCGCCAGGTTCTGGGCCCATGGGAAAGGAAAACCGAGGACTACATCTGCCGCAACTCGCCCCAAGGAATAACAAACGGGAACAGCTTGGTTTGGTTCGCCCAGAGATTTCCTTGGCGTAGCGCACGATAGGCGCCACGGCAGGGTACCAGGTGGGGTCTTGAGAGAGATTGGAGGAGGAGGAGGAGGAGGAGGAGGAGGAGGAGGAGGAGGAGGAGGAGAGGGAGGAGGAGGAGGAGGAGGAGGAGGAGGAGGAGGAGGAGGAGGGGGAGGAGGAGGGGAGAATGCGCCCTGAGGCGCCCTGAGGCCTGCGCGAGGAGCAGCAGACGGCGCCCTGGGGCCGAGGCCGAGGCGCCCTGAGCCCTGAGGCGGAGGACGAGGCGCCCTGAGGCCAGCCTGAGGCGGAGGACGAGAGGCCGAAGCGCCCTGAGGCCAGCGCGAGCAGACGGCGCCGAGACGCCCTGAGACGAGGAGGAGGAGGAGGAAGAGGAGGAGAAGGAGGAGGAGGAGGAGGAGGTGGAGGAGGAGGCGGCGAAAATGGAAGGGGACGCAGAGAAGCGGCTGAGGGCGCGGAGGAACAGGTAGAGGCTGAGGAGGAGGAGACGGCAGCCACACCAGCGCCACGACACGACGACCGCCCCCCGTCCCCCGTCCCCGTCCCCCCCCTTTCCCCTCCCGTGCCGCCCGCGCAGGTGCGCTTTCGGTTTTGTTTTCCCCCTTCCCCCCCGGTCTGAGTCGGGGGCCGTTGCCCGCAGATCGCGGGGGCGTACAGTTCCGGACATGGACGACGCCCTCACACGCCTGACCCCGGTCGCCGGGGTCGCGGCTACAGCTGGAGGAGGAGGAGGAGGAGGAGGAGGAGGAGGAGGAGGAGGAGGAGGGAGGAGGAGGGAGGAGGAGGAGGAGGAGGAGGAGGAGGAGGAGGAGGAGGAGCCCATCCCGGACCAGTGGGCGCGGGCAGGCCCCGCTCCGAACGGCAGCGCGGGCGGCGCGCACGGCGCCCCCACGGCGCCGGCCAGCTTCGGGGCCAGCCCACAGTCCGGAGGCCCGCTGGGGCGGCACACGGTCGGCGGCAGCCTTGAATCGGGCATGCCCCTCTAGAGGAGGAGCATTCAAAAATTGTCAAACAACAAATAGTCTGGGGATGATTATATTTACGTATATATATATATGTATATACATATATACAAGTAGGTGCATTTTTTAATATATATATATATGTATATATATACATATATATACACACATATGTGTATATATAGATACATACATATATATATATATATAATATATATTATATGTATACACACATATATATATATATATATATATATGTGTATATATATATATATATATATATATCCCGGCGGGGGAGCAGGCCCGGGGCCCGAAAACAGCTGCCCCGACCCTCCATAGGGGGCACCGGGGCTCATTTCCCATGTGTTTTTACAAGGTTTCCGCGTCCTGGGCCTCGGAGGCCGCCGCCTCCGACCCCCATGGGAGGACGGGGCGGCCGGGGAGGTCCAAAATAGTCCAGGAGGGCCTCCAGTGGCTCCCAAGACGGCCCAAGCGGGCTGCGAGTCGCCGAAAGACCGCTCCAGGGCGCCCAAGATAGGCCCAAGACTGCCCGAGAGGCCCCCCAAGGCACTCCACGACGCTTCAAGACGCCTCTCCAAAGCGCTTCAAGAGACCGAAATCTTTAATTTTACTAAGGTTTTCGAACGATCTTGGCCTTCCAGCCTTTTCGGCTGTCCGACGTTCCAAGACGGCCCAATAGGCCCCCAAGAGCGGCCCAAGACGGCCCAAGAGGGCCCCAAGACGGCCCCAGAGTCGCCCAAGACAGCCCAACAGAGCCCCAAGACGGCCCCAGGATGCGCCCAAGAGGGGGACCACGACCGCAAAATTCGACCCTCCCGCTTGAAGAGTGCCCCAGGAGGCCCCAAGGAGCCCCCAAGAGGCCCCAGGAGGCCCCCAAGAGGCACCCAGGAGGCCCAAACGAGGCCTAAAGAGGCCACAAAACAGCCCCGAGGAGGCCCCACAACGGTCCCAAAACGGCTTCCGAGAAGCTGCGAAACTGCCTTCACGACGTCCCCGACAGGCCAACCACGAGATCCAAACCAACACCCATGAGGCCTCTGACCCACCACCCAGGGAACGGTGGCGGGAGCAGTGACAGCACTTGTGCACAGCATGTTCTGGCGGGAGCCTTCCGGAACACGCTGCACGAGGAGGAGGAGGAGGAAGATCAGGAGTAGAGAGAGTTGGAGTGGGAGGAGGAGGAGGAGGAGGGGGACGAGGAGGAGGAAGAGGCCTCCAAGACAGCTCCAAGATAGCCGAAGAGGCTTCCAAGAGGGCCCTGGGCGGCCCACGAGGGCCCCAAGGCGGTGCCTGAGGCGCCCAAGACGGCCCGAGAGGGCCCCAAGACGGCCCCAAGAGAGACCCAAGAAGGGAAACACGAACCGAGAATCTGAGCTTTCTACCCCGAGAGGTTCTCGGGAAGTCCCAAGAGGCCCCCAATCGGATCCAAGAGGCCCCCCAGAAGCTCCCAAGAGGGCCGACGAGGTTCCAAGAGATCTCCCAAGGTGGCCTCAAGAGGCACAACTCATTGTTTTATGATTGGGCTTGGACGGGGTTAATTTTTTCTGCCTTTTGGCATCCCGATGCTCCAAGACGGCCCAAGAGGCTTCCAATACCGCTCCAATATAGAGGAAGAGGCCTCCAAGAGGGCCCCAAGACGTCCCGCGAGGGCCCCAAGACGGTGCTTGAGGCGCCCAAGACGGCCCGAGAGGGCCCCAAGAGCCCCAAGAGAGGCCCAAGAAGGGGAACACGACCCAACAGCAGAGCGTTCCCCCCTAAAGGCCCACAGGAGGCCGCAAGAGGCCCCCAAGTGGTCCGACGAGGGCCAAAAAGCTTCCCGAGGGCCCAAATAGCCCAAGAGTGCCCTCGATGCGTCAAAACTGCTTCCAGGAGGCCTCCGGGAGACTTCCGGATTGCCTCAATCTGGCCGCAGGTGGCCTCAAGAAGAGGCACCCAAGAGATGCCTCCAACAGCCAGTTGACGAAGCTTGCGGAACACCCCAGAAGCTCCTCAGATGCCGTCGCGCGCCTGTGCTTGATAGCGTTGTCCAAGATCGTCCAGCGCCCCCCCGGCTTGGGCTAGAACCTGAGCGCGCGCGATTCGCGCGCGATGGTTCAAGTATATATATATATATATATATATATATATATATATATTATGTATATATATATATGTACGATTGTATATACGCTTATATACATTTTTTTTATATATATATATATATATTATATATATATATATATATATATATATATATATAAAAGCCGGGGGGGTAACCCCATCAGCCCCCCCGTCCAAAATTGGACCCCTAGGATCGGAGTTTCCGGGGGCCCCCCGACATCCTTACCAAAGGTCCCCGGCTCGTCCTGGACCTCCCAGGGCGTTTAGCCGGGCCCTGCCAGCAGGCCCCAAGCGATCGGAGCAGTGATCAGAGAGGCCGAAGGGAGACCCAAGACAGCACAAGAGCGCTCGAGGAAGGACCCGGATGGCCTCCAGAGGCCCCTAAGACGGCCTAGGAGGCCCTTAACAGGACTCCCAGAACGCGCAAACGTCGCTTCATGCTCCTAGGGAAACGTACGTTTTCAGCACATTCGCTGTTCGGGTCTTAGCAGCGTCCACAACAGCCCCAAAGACCTCCAGTATCGCCCCAAGACGGCCCAATAGACCCCCAAGAGAGCCTCTAGACGGCCTGGATGGCCTCAAGATTGCCCAAAGAAACCCCACATGAGCCAGACAGAGGCCCAACAGGCCTTCGCAAGGCCCAGAAGAGAAGCCCAAGAATGCCATGGGAGGCCCCCCAAAAGACCATGGGAGGCCGACGGCAGGCTCAGGAGGGCCTACGTAGCCCCTGTAAAGCCCCTAGAGAGCCCAAGCTCCCCAACACGGCCCAAGATGGGCCCAAGACGGCTCGAGACGGCCCCAAGCCCGCCCACCAGGACTCCAACAAGGCCCACACGACGTTTTCCACCAAATTGACCCGAATTCCAAGCCCGCAACCACAAATCCCGCAAATCTGTTACGAATCCGGGGTATTGGGTGCATTCCCTAAGAATTACTTGCGTCCGCGTGCCCCGTTGCGACCCGCTGCAACCCGCTGCAACATTCTTCGCCGTCCCCCGACGGAGCCCTCCTCCTCCTCCTCCTCATCATCTTCCTCCTCGTCCTCCACCACTCGTCCTCCCCCACATCCGCTTCCTTTCTTCGCTCCCCGAGATTCCCTCCCTCCTATCCTTCGCCCTCCACCCGGCGCCTTTCGGGAGCCCCCAGAGGCCCGGGAAGGGCCAGGGACCGCCCGAATTTCCGATGATTTTTGAAAACCACCGCAGGGAAGGGGCCAAATTTCCAAGGCTACTTGGGATGGTGCGAACCACCAATATATGCAAAGCCTCAACGATCAAGCTACATTGCGCGAAGCGCCAATGTAGTCTTTTGTGTATATATATATATATATATATATATATATATATATATACATATGTGCACGTGGACGCGAATATTACATCATGTGCTAGGGTTTGTTGCCTCGGGGACGCAAGCATTTAGCAATTTCGAGGAGTTGTTGCCTCGGGGACGCGAATATTATAGAATTTACACGAGACTCTGGCTTCGGGGACGCAACTAGTGAGCAATCTGCAATGGCTTGTGGCCTCGGGGAAGTGAGCATTGCATAATGTACCAGGGATTCTGGCTTCGGGGACGCGACTATTGTGTAACTTACCAGGGTGTCTTGCCTCGGGGACGCAAGATTTGAATGATTCTCAATGGTTTGTTGACTCGGGTGCGCAAGAATTCTATTATCTGTAAGGGTTAATGGCCTCGGGGGCGCGAATATTGTACAATGCTATGAAGGTGTGTTGCCTCGGTGACGCCAGAATTATATTATTCGCGAAAGTGACTGGCCTCGGGGGCGCGAACATTCCGTAATTTACCAGGGTTCGTGGCCTCGGGGGCGCATCTGTGGCGTAAATTACCAGGGATCGTGACCCCAGAGGCGCGAATTTAGCATAATTTGTTGGGCGCGAATTTGAATTATTTCGAAAAGCTCGTGGCCCCGGGGGCGCGAACGCGGCGGAATGTACAAAGGATCGTGGCCGCGGGGGCGCGAACGTGGTGTCATTTACGAGGGATCGTGGCCCCGGAGGCGCGAACGTAGCGTAATTTACGGCTGATCGTAGCCTCGGGGACGCGAATGTTATGCAAGTTACGAAGGATCGTGACCTCGGGGGCGCGAATACAGCGTTGTTAACATAGGAGTATTGCGTCGGGAGCGCGACTTTCACACACATATATATACATACATTCATATACATATATATATATATATATATATATACATAAATCTATATATATATATATATATATATATATACATACATACATACATACATACATATATACATATATATATATATATACAAGACTGCATGGGCGCTGCGCGCCATGCACCTTGGTCCTTTGGAATTTGCACGCTAGCGGAGTGCGAGCGTGCGTACACGCGCACACACACATGCGTCTATAAATGCATAGTACGTATGTACATATATATAGAATACACGTTTGTAAGGATATGTGTAACTTTGTGTGCGCATACACATGCGTATATCAGGCGGTAGTGGCCTGACCAGTTGCTCATATCATCGCGCCACTAAAAGGCGCGAAGGTCTCAGGCAAACGTGGTCAGACTACCATGGGACAATGCGTCGCCGAGGCCAGTGTTGCGAGGACGTCCCAGGTGAAAATGGCCTGAACACCTCCGCTCAGGGGAGGGCATATCCGAAGTCAGCCGTGCGAGGAAGTTTCAAGCGAGGAGTGGTCTGAACGCCTCTGCCCAGGGCATCCGAGAACTTAGAGTTGCGAGAAATCGCACGCGAAAGTGGCCGAACCACCACGGTGCAAGGCACCTCCGAAGTGAGACTTGCGAGAGTGTCTCAGGCGACAGTGGCTGGAACACCTCAACTGAGAGTGTCTCGGGCCCCAGAGCTGCGATGATGTCTGAAGCGAAAACGGCGTGACCGATGCGAAGCAAGGCGCTTCTCAGGCCGGAGTTGCGAGCATATCTCTGGCGAAGCGGATTAGACATACTTTCCATTATCTCCTCTTCCTCGTTCCCTTTTTCTTTTCCTCCTCCTCCTCCCCCCCCTCCTCCTCCTCCTCCTCTTGTTCCTCCTCCTCTTCCTCTCCCCCCTCTCCGCTTCGTTTTTTTGTCCATTCTACCTATCCTCGGCGGCGCGGCGCGGCGCCGCTCGGCCTCTCTGCGAGTCAAGCGGCAAAAGGTGAGAGAACCCCCCCGAATTAGGAATGGTTTTTCCCACGCCGCCAAGGGGGCACGAAGGTAGTGCAAGAGGCGGTGCAGGTTTTGAGATCCCCCAGGGGCTCCTCGGATTCGGCCGGCCCTCTCCGGTAAGGTAGGCAAGGGCACCGCGTCCAGGTGCTCAATCCCCCGTATCCCCCTCCCCTCGTCTTCGTTCCCTCCCCCATGTCCCCCTCCTCCTCGTCCTCGCCCCCCTTTTCCCCTTCATTCTCCTCCTCCCTCTCCCCTCCTTCTCCTCCCTCGATGCCCCCGCGTGGTTTTCGGGCCATGACTCGGGCCTCTGGGGGCCGTTCGCGACGTTTCCGGCGCCCCCAAAACGCTTCCGGCGAGTCGCAGACGCTGAAGGAAATCCCCGGGCCGGAAACCCCCCCAGAACAAACAATCCGAAAACCTTGATCCTCCATTCTCGGATCCTCTCTCTCGGAGGAGGAGGGGGGAGGGGTGAAGGACGAGGGGAGGGACAATGAAGATTAGTACGGCGACGACGACGACGACGACGACGACGACGGGGGAAGGAGAAAAAGGAAGAGGAGGAGGATGAAGAGGAGGAAGAGGATGAAGAGGACAGATTGTGTGGATATCTGGGGCACAGCCGAGGCGTCGCGGAAGAAATCCGCAGCAGAGACTTGGGAAAGTAAGGAGAGCTGCTTCTGCTAGACATTTGGCGGGGCGGAACGTGAAACATCACGGGGAATGAGGAGAAGGAGGAGGAGGAGGTAGAGGAGGAAGAGAATGAGGAAAAGGAGAAGAAGCTCTTGGGCCCTTCGGTGGCTTGAACGAAAAATGGCCTCGCTGCGCCATTTGATACGACAACGACGACGACGAAGAAGGCGACGACAAAGAGAAAGGATAATGAGAGGGGGAAACCGCTGTGTTGGGATCTCGTGGTGCGCCTCTCGGGGCCCTCTGGGAGGCAGTTTTGAAGCCTCTTGGGGGCGTTTTGGGGTTTTTGGGATCTTTTGGGGGCCTCTTGGGGGGCTCCTTTGGGGCCTCTTGGGGGCCTCTTGGGGCCTCATGCGGCTCTTTCCCATGGGGCTCTCTCCGGGCCTCTTGGGGCCCTCTCGCTGCGGAAAATTTAGTTTTTGATTTTTTGTTTGACGCCCTCTTGGGTCTCTCTTGGGGCCGTCTCGGTGCTATGTTGGGCCGTATTGGGCGCCTCTTGGGCGGTTTCGGAGCCCTCCTGGACCGTGTTGGGCCCTTCTGGGGGGCCTCTTGGCAGTACTGGGGCGTTCTAGGGAGCCTCGTGGGCCATTGTGGAGCGTCGGGAAGCGGGGAAAACGAGAAGGCCAACAACATCGAAAAACACAGGAAAATCAACAATTGTAGCGTCTCGGTGCTCTCTTGGGAGGCCTCT